GAATATAAGGAGGTGGAGAGACTGCCTGCCTGATTTTAAAGAGAAGGGAATAAGTATTTTGATAGGAATGGAGAAGACTACCCGGAAACAGAGACGAGTTTAAGCTAGAGAGTGAAAAGATAATGATAACTATTCTTATTGCTATTATTATTATTATTATTAACACTACATCAGTAATTATTTAGAATATTGTTAGTAAAATATTATCATTATCATTATTACAAAAATAATATTGTTATTAGCCTTATCATAACTATTATCATTATCATTGTTATCATTATTGCAAAAGAAAAACACAATGCATAAATGAGAATGATGAAAAATGATACAACAGTTTCGAAATCCACCTGGATTGTATCTTCAGGTCTGAAGAAGAAGGGGAAAGGAGGGAGCTTAAGAGAGAGAGAGATGAGAGGCAACGCGGTGAACACAGAACAAGTAAGGACTGGTGAACGGAAGCGAAGGGAGGCCAAATCAGGTCGAAATATCAGGCGGTCAGTGAGAAGGGTGGCTGGCATCAAGGAGTTGGCGGAGGATGCGGAAAGCGAGCAGATTGTCGTTAGGGAAAAAAGAAAAAAAAATACTGTTCAGGTTGAAATCAGGCTGCTGCTTAATCATGGACCCCACCATTTTGCGGGCGTGGACATCAGTGGAAGGAAAGACAATTCGCGCAGCTGACCGATCCATCTGATGCCTTGTGTCCCGCTGATGGCAGAAGAGGGCGTTGTTGTTGTGCCCCCTGGTTACCGCTTATTTATCTATATCAAGGCAGACAGCGAGACTGAATATCTGTTTCGCCAGAGTGCTGCTTCTCACAAGAGGCGCCTTCGGGATAGAGGGAGGGCGGGTGTGAACCAAATCGAAGGGGAGAATGTTTACCTGACGAATGATGTCTACAGTTGCGAGGTGAAGAGGGCGAAGGAGAGAGGTCCAGTGGAGGGCAGCAGAAGGAGCGACGCAGGAGACCGGTCTCTCCGTCCGAGCACTACGATCGTTTTAGTAATGATGATAACAACTACGACAAGGATAATAGCACTAATGGTAATAATGGTAGTAGCAATGATAATGATATTGATGATAAGAATAACAATAGTTGTAAAAATGATGATACAGGCAATGATATAACTGTAAAAGTAATATAATGACAATATAATAATGATAATAATGTTACTTCTACGAACAATAATGATAATAATGATGACAACAGTTTTAAGAGAATGATATGGATAATGATGACAGTGATAAATAATAATAATGATGATGATAATAAAAATGATAATACTGATAAAAGACAATGATACAACAGCAACAGTAGTAATAATAATAATGATAGAAATAAGTATAATAATAATTATGATAACAATTATAGTAAATATAATAATAACAATGGTAATGATGATAATAGTAATAAAGATAATGGAAATAATTACGATATTGATATTTATAGCAATGACAATAGAAATAATATCAATACCAATAATAGTAATAGTATTGATAATAATAACAACAATAATAATAATGATCATTATACCGATATTGATAATAATATTAAAGATAATTATCATTATAATTGTTATAATAACTAGTTACAATGAAAAGTATCCTAGCAATACTGACAATAATAATAACAACAAAATAACAACAGTAATAGTAATAACAATGATTATAATAACAGTAAAACTTAGTAATATAATTACGGTAATAATAGGCAACACTAATAATAGCAACTGTAATGATAACAAAATTGCCAACACCCACAGAAAGCGAATAAATCCCAAACGCCAATAAATTCCCTCCTTCCGTCGTCTCGCCTTGCAATGCCCTCTGCAATCCGGTCGGCCGTTGCTTCGATTTCCTCGCAGTCTTTGCAAAAGTACTTCGGCCAGACTGCCCGGCCTCTGTAAAGGGATTTCTCCGCTCTAACACTTTCTCGAGAGGGCAGGATCCGCGAGGCTGGGTCGTCCTCTCCTCCCAGCTTGGGTCTTGTCCGCTTCTACTCGCTCGTCTGCCGTTTCTCATTTGCTGTTTTCTTTTCTGCTCAATTTTATTCGATTCGTCTGCATTTTGTCCTCTTCCGGCCTGTACTGATTTTGTTTCTTCTTTGATCTATTGTTATTATTATTATCTTTGTTATCATTATTGTCATTATTGATGTTTTGCTACCATTATCATCATTATCTTCTTCCTTACTGACTTTCGAAAATTCTTTAGAATGTTTTTCTTTCTTCAGTATAAATGATGCTTATCATTACTTTCTTTTTTGGATTTTTCCTTTTCTACTGCAGATTCTTGTTGCTTATCTTATTATTTTTTATTATGATAATAATGATGATTATTACTACTACCTCCGCCAAGTTTATGTTTTTGATAGTGTTGGTCAGTTGGTTAGTTTATTTGTTCGATAACAGGATGACTCAGATAGGTATGAATTATTATTATTATTATTATTATTATTATTATTATTATGAACTATTATTATATTTACTTGTCACCTGTGTAC